GCAGCAAAATGCAGAATTTACAGCGTCCATTCTAACATCGCACTCAACGCAAACTACGCAGCAGCTGGTGCTGCAGCAGCAACAGCAGCAGCAGCAGCAACAACAGCAGCAGCAACAGCAGCAGCCATTGTACCTCCTCGTAAGAAAAGCGGCAGGTTGATTCAATCACCTGCAAAGAAAAGCCCTCATTAAACCCTAAACCCTAAATCGTAAACCCTAAACCCTAAACCCTCGTAAACCCCAAGGAGACCCTCCTCTTCTTCTGTGTCTAGGCACAACTACCAGTTAGCTTCCTAGGGTTTAGGGTTTCGATTTCCTGTTTAGTGTTTAGGGTTTACTAATTAGGGTTTAGGGTTTAGAAATTAGGGTTTAGGGTTTAGGGTTTAGGGTTTAGGGTTTACAGATTTAAAGAAAAGAGGTCTAAATTTTTTATTGATACTTCCGTCCTCAAAGACGCGAGCAATTACTGTGAATGTTAGCTTAGGTCCTCCAGGGTGTAAACTGCACATAAACCCTAAACCCTAAACCCTAAACCCTAAACCCTAAACCCTAAACCCTAAACAGTGAGGAGAGGGTCTTGTGGCTTGGGATATATGCGCGTCTAACGGTAGGTCTAGGGTTTAGGGTTTAGGGTTTGCATACCTGCAGACGTTATCTGCCAGAGCTCGAGGCAGCATAGGGTAACACATGTGCGGCAAATACCTGCAAACCACAAAAAAGGGTTTAGGGTTTAGGGTTTAGGGTTTAGGGTTTTATCTTCAATACAAAATAGACAGATAGAGGGGATAAATAAAAAACAGCAGCAGCAACAGCAGCAACAGCAGCAACAGCAGCAGCAAAACAGCAAAACAACACAAGAATAATATCAGCAGCAATATCAGCAGCGACCGCAGCATTACTATCAGCAGCAGCAGCAGCAACAGCAGCAGCAGCAGCAGCAGTAGCGTACAGTGTTGCTGTTCTTTTTTTTGCTTCTTTATCCATGATAGAATTATTAGCAATAAAAGAAGAAACATCAGCAATATGAATACCTAATTCATATTCTTTTAGTTCCTCCTTCTTGCTGCTGCTGCTGTTGCTGCTGCTGCAGCTGCTGCTGCTGTGTGTAATGGGGTGTATGTGCACCGCATCATCTAAGTCACGAGCAGATGCAGGATCTATTGTATACACACGACGAAGACCTGCAGCAGCAGCAGCACCAGCAGCAGAGGAGGTGGACGAACAGCAGCAGCAGCAGCAGCAGAACCAGCAGCAAAGGAGGTGGACGAACAGCAGCAGCAGCAGCAGCAGCACGATGACAATACTAGCTATGCTACAAAAAGTGCAGCAGCCGCTGCTGTACCAAGAAAAGCAGCAGCAGCAGCAGCACCAGCAGCAGCAGAAGCAGCAGCAGCAGCACATGTTGTATACCTCTCAAGTCGACCCTCTTTTGGATTTCCTCATCTGCAGCAAACAGCAGCAACAACACAAAGCAGCATCTCCCCATGCCGCAGCAGCAGCAGCAGCAGCAGCACGTGCAGCAGCAACAGCAGCAACAGCAACAACTGCAGCAGCAGCAGGAGGAATAGTATATTACCTAGGTTGCTCTGTGTAGCAGCAACAACAGCTGCAGCTTCTGCTTCTGCTTCTGCTGTTTGTGGCTGTGCATGGCTAACAAGATCCCCAGCAATTAATACACACTGCAGCACAAACCCTAAACCCTAAACCCTAAACCCTAAACCCTAAACCCCAAAATCCTAAAAAAATCCTAAACCCTCAATACTTCGTCTTGAGTCACGAATCCTACGGGAGTATCCACTTTCTTCTTCTAGGGTTTAGGGTTTAGGGTTTAGACTCACCATTAGCTCGGTGCTCAGCTCGCCGCTTGTACCAATTAAACCCAGTATGTCTCCTGTTAGCAGCAGCAGCAGCGGCAACAGCAGCAGCAGCAGCAACGGCAGCAGCAGCAGAGCGACAATGAAGAAAGGGTTTGCAGGATTGAGGCAGATTTAGTCTTTAGATGTTTTCGTGTTTTTAGGGTTTAGGGTTTAGGGTTTTTATTAGGGTTTAGGGTTTAGGGTTTAAGGTTAATATACGTCTAGGTAGAGGATGTTTATGTTGGTAAAAAGTAACATTATGAAGAAGAAGTTTACAACAACAATCTATTGATCTGTGGTGTTGTATAAAAAAAATTAGGGTTTAGGGTTTAGGGTTTAGGGTTTAGGGTTTACCTCTAGGTAGAGGATGTTTAGGTTGCCAAGAAGTAACATTAACAAGAAAAAGTTTGCAACAACTATCTATATCTGCAGTGTCTATCCATTTAGATACTTCTGTCCCTGATAATAATACCCATGGTTTTCTTCTATCTGTATACATATACATGTATATATATATAAACCCTAAACCCTAAACCCTAAACCCTAAAAACCCTAAACCCTAAACCCTAAACCCTAAACCCTAAAATCGAAAAATCCGAAACCCTAAACCCTCAAAACTGTAAAATGGCGGGGAAGAAAGAAAAAGGAATAAAAGATAAAAGAAAAAAAAAAGAAAAAAAGAAGAAAAAAGAAAAAAAAGAAGAAAAAAAAGAAAAAAGGAGACAAAACTTACCTATTGGCTCCGCCCTAACGAAGTTATCCACAGATGGCTACACAAACAAACAAACAAAAAAAGAAAAGAAAATAAATAAATAAATAAATAAATAAATAAATAAATAAATAAATAAATAAATAAATAATTATAATTAATTAGCTAAAATAATTATATTAATTAAATTAAGGGAAGAGAAAAGAAAAAGAAAGAGGAAAAGGAGACAATAAATAAAAAAAGGAATAATAAAAGGAGACAATAAATACCAACTGCAGCAGCAGCAGCAACAGCAGCAACAGCAGCAGCAGCAGCAGCAGCAGCAAACTTACTCCTGGGTTTTTTCTTAGTTTGCATACAAATTGTCTATTAGCACGAAGATTATCTAAGATCTTTGCTGCTCTCTCCTCTTGTTCCTCCACCATTTGCTGCTGCTGCTGCTGCTGCTTGCCTTGCTGCTGCTTGTCTTGCTGCTGCTGCTGCTGTTGCTGTTGCTGTTCTTCTTCCGTTAGCAGCTCTTGCTGCGGATCTTTGTCCTGCTGCTCCTGCTGCTGCTGCTGCTGCTGCTGCTGCTGCTGTTCCTGCTGCTCTTCCTCTTGCTGCATATCTCTCTTATAATTCTCGTCATTCTCTTGTTCGTGCTCCTCCTCTTCCCGCTGCTGCTGCTGTTGTTGCTGCTGCTGCTGTTTCTGCTGCTGCTGCTGCTGCTGCTTCTTCTGCTGCTGCGCAGACTCTGCTCCTTGTCTTAATGCCAGCAGCAATTCAGCTTTCCTTCTCTCCGTCAAAAACTCTAATGCTACAGACACTACTCGTCCTGCTCGACGCAGACCTACCTCTGCTGCAGCAGCAGCAGCAGCAGCAGCAGCAGCAACAGCAGCAGCAGCAACAGCATTAGCAGCAGCAGTAGTACCAGCACAAGTAGCAACTCAAATGGGTTACAGCAGCAGGGTTACAGCAGCAGCAGCAAGCACCCCAGCAGCAGCAGCAAAATAGCAGCAGAAGTCGGTTCAGCAATAGCTGCAACAACAGGCACAAGAACAGCAGCAGCAGCAGCAGCAGCAGCAGCAACAGCAGCAGCAGCAGCAGCAGCAAGTTGTACCTGGCCTAGTTATTTCTTCCCCATCAGGAGAAACGACGACTTCTTCCTCGGCGTTACTTAGAGGCACCCACTCCTCAGGAGGCAGCAGCTGCAGCAGCAGCAGCAGCAGCAGCAGCAGCAGCAAAAAGCATGTGCAGCAACAGCAGAAGGCAGCTTACCAGCAGCTGCAGCAGCAGCAACAGCAGCAGCAACATTCTTACCTCCACTTGGACGAAGTCCTCATGTACAGCACGACCTCTGTTTTGTCTACCTGCAGCAGCAGCAGCAAGGAAACACAGCGGCAGCAACTGCAGCAACAACAGCAGCAGCTGCAGCAGCTACCGCAGCCGCCACTGCAGCAGCAGCAGCAGCAGACGGCGATTCACGACAGACAAGTACATTACACTGCGCACGTTACAGCAGCAGCAGCAGCATAAACAGCAGCACAAACAGCAGCAGCAGCAGCAGCAGCAGCAGCAGCAACAGCAGCAGCAGCAGCAGCGTACCCTTGATAATAATATCTGGTAGTCCGTCTTTGGTTGCAACAAATGCGTCATCAGGAAATTTCCAATTCACATTCAATCGACCCTATACACATAAACCCTAAATTAGGGTTTAGGGTTTAGGGTTTAGGGTTTAGGAGGGTTTACTAGTAGACTTTAAGGGTTTAGGGATTAAGTTCGAGGGTTTGGGACAAACAGGTGTATAGGGATTAGGTTTTACTGTTTAGTGTTTAGGGTTTGCTGTCTAGGGTTTAGGGTTTAAGGGTTTGAGGGTTTAGGGTTTGAGGGTTTAGGGTTTGAGGGTTTAGGGTTTGAGGGTTTAGGGTTTAGGGTTTAGCCGATTTACCCACAAACAGCCGGGTATACTTCTATTAAGAACAATATCTCTTAGACTATCGGGGACGGCTTGCTGCTGCTGCTGCAGCTGCTGCTGCAGCTGCTCCTGCTGCTGCCGTAGCTGCTCCTGCTGCAGCTGAAGTTGCTGCTGCTGAAGCTGTAGCTGCTGCTGCTGCTGCTGCTCCATGTATTGCTGCTGCTGACGACGCTGCTGGTGCTGCCGCTGCTGCTGCTGCTGGTGCTGCCAATGCTGCTGATGCCTCCTCTCTCTGTCTTGCTGATGCTGCCGCGAGTAGTTATATCTCTGCTGCTGCTGCTGCCCGTGCTGCTGCTGCTGTTGCCATTGCTGCTGCTGCTGATATTGCTGCTGCTGCTGCCATTGGTACTGCCTGTGCTGCTGCTGCTGCTCATCTCCCCAGCGCCGCCGCTGGCGTGGTGTACGCTGCTGTTGCTGCTGGTCATGCTGCTGCTGCTGCTGCTGCTGCTGCTGCTGCCATGTCTGCTGCTGCTGGTAGTCCTGCTGCTGCTGCTCCTCTGTCCAAGGCCCCCGATGGCGATATGTTCGGTGGTAGTGCTGCGTCTGCCTGGGCTGCCGGTGGTGCCTAGGCTGCTGCTGCTGCTGCTGCTGCTGCGGCTGCTGCTGCTGCTGCTGTAGGTCCTCTTGCTGCGGCTCCGAGGAGGGGGAACTGTTGAAAGGGGGTGTGGGGGTTTCCCCCCGTTCATTAGCTGCCATCTTGTAGATACCCAAAGTTGTTGAGGGTTTAGGGTTTAGGGTTTAGGGTTTAGGGTTTAGGGTTTGCATGGGTGTAGACTGCCGACAGCAGCAGCGCAGCTGCTGCAGGGGTATGAGGTAGATAGCGTCTCATGCAGCAATTGGTAGGGTTTGACTCCAACAATTAGGGTTTAGGGTTTAGGGATTAGGGTTTAGGGTTTAGAGAGTCGTGGGGCGCGCGTTTGCTGCCTGCTGCTGCTCAGGTAGTTGGGGGGCTCAGTAACAGCAAAAGAGCTACGAGGGTTTAGGGTTTAGGGCCTAGGGTTTAGGGTTTAAATGAGTTGCTAATTGCATATTTACTCTTAATGAAGAGATATTTCGTGTCATAGGCTTGGGGTTTAGGGTTTAGGGTTTAGGGTTTAGGGTTTAGGGTTTGAGGTTGCGGTGTGTTACTGCATGGCTGCCAGTGTGCCATTAGGGTTTAGGGTTTACGTATTAGGGTTTATCCTTTATTGTTAAGTTTACAATTTTATCGCCAAGGGTTTAAGATTAATGAGTTAGGGTTTAGGGTTTAGCATGTAAACTCGAGGGTTTAGGGTTTAGTGTTTAGGGTTTACGGTTTACGGTTTAAGGCTGTTGTCGTGTCTGCTGCTACGTATTATGGCTGAGGGTTTACGTCCTAGGGTTTAGGGTTTAGGGTTTAGGGTTTATATACCCCTTAAAAGAGTTCAACTTCGAGTTCTTCCGTTATTAACACCGTAAACCCTAAACCCTAAACCCTTAACACCTGCGGGCAGGGAATAAATAGAGCTGCAGCAGCAACTGCAGCAGCAACAACAGCAGCAGCAGCAACTGCAGCAAATAAATTAGTCTTATGATCTAATTTTTGCATTTTGCTGCTGCAAGCCTCACGTCTCTGTACTCAGCAAACCCTAAACCCTAAACACTAAACCCTAAACCCTAAACCCTCGATAATCCTGGCGTAAAAACTTAACGCTGCAGTTAAAGCGGCAGAATAAACGGCAGACAAACGATAAGAATGCCACAGCAATTGCTGCTGCTGCTGCTGCTGCTGCTGCTGCTGCTCTCGCTGCTGCTGGCGCGCCTACGGCAGTACAGCAGCAGGGAAGCTGCTGTAGGATACCCCACAGCCAAGGGAGCAGCAGCAACAGCAGCAACAGCTGTTGCAGCAGGTGTTGCTGCTGCTCCAGGTGCTGCTGCTGCTGCTGCTGCAGCAGCAGCAGCAGCAGGAGTCCTACGTCTCATTCAGCTGACAGTTCTATAGCAGCAAAAGGCAGCAAATGCCGCAGCAAAAACAGCCGCAGCAGCTTAGCGCATGCACGCAGATGGGGATCTACACGGGATTCCTCAGCAGCAGCAGATGCTGCTGCAGCACCAGGTGCAGCAGCAGCAGCAGCAGCAGCAGGTGCTGCTGCTGCTGCTGCAGTGTGTGTGCGATTTCTTAGAGAAAGCATCAGGTGCAGCTGCTTGAGATCTGACTTCCTGCTGCTGCTGCTGCTGCTGCTGCTGCTGCTACTGCTCGGGTTGCTGCATTCGGAGTTAGTGAGGGCTTGCTGCTGCTGCTGCTGCAGTTGCTGCTGCCGCCGCCTCTTTGCAGCAAGCAGCAACTGCAGCAGCTGCTTCGTACCTATTGCTTGTGGCTGCAACAGGTGTACGTACACCCAAATAATCAGCAGCAGCAAAGGTACTGCATGCAAAGGACGAGCAACACGGCCATTCTGCGAGCAGCAGCAGCAGCAGCAGCAGCAGGAACCGCAATAGTGACAAGCGCATTACCAGTAGTAGCAGCAGCAGGAGCAGCAGCAGGAGCAGCAGGAGCAGCAGCAAGTATGTAGCAGCAACGAGATGAGACTAGCTGCATAGTATAGGCACAGAGAGAGCAGCAAGAACAGCAGCACCAGCAGCAGCAAGAACACCAGCAGCAGCAGCAGCACCAGCAGCAGCAGGATGTATACATACTCTTCGTGAGAAGCAGAGCAGCAGAGCTGCAGCAAAAGCAGCAGCAGCAGCAACTTCTATTTTCTTCTTAATAGTTTGCATGCATCTCTCCATTGTATCACCAAACAGCAGCCGCGTCAGCAGCATGCGCAGCAGCAGGGGAAGAGCAGCAGGATACAGCAGCTTACGTGCTCCTGCAGCAGCAGCAGCAGCAGCAACAGCAGCAACAGGATTAACAATGGTAGCACGAGCAGCAGCAGCAGCAGCAGCAGCAACAAAAGCAGCAGCACATCTTCTATCCTAACAGAGAAAATGCACACAGCCTCAACCCCCCATCTGCAGCAGCAGCAGCAGCAACAGCAGCAGCAGCAGCAGCAACAACAACAACTAACCAACACGTTTGCCAATGCTGAGTACAACAGCAGCAGCATGTCTTTCGTCTTCTGTTACTTCTTCTTTGCTGCCATAGAAAGCAGCAACAGCAGCAGCAGCAGCTGCTGCTGCTGCAGCAGGAGGAGGCAGCGGCTGCTGCAGCCGCACCCATGGAGGATCAGCAGCAGACAGCAGCAGCTGCTGCTGCTTTGCTTCTTCCTCCTTCCTATGAGGCTCAACAGGCAGCAACCATTCCTCCATCTGCTGCTGCTGCTGCTGCAGTTCCTGCTGCAGTTCGTGCTGCTGCTGCTGCTGCTGCAGCAATGCTGCTTCCTTCTTGTCACTCCCCTCCCAATTGAGCTGCTGCTGCTGCTGCAGCTGTTGCTGCTGCCTGTGTGTTTTCTGCTGCTCCCCCTGTTGGTGTTTCCCTCCTTCCTGCTGCAGGCGCCTTAGCTGCTGCTGCTGCTTTCTCCTTTGCTGCAGTTGCTGCAGTTGCTGCTGCTGCTGCTGTCCATAGTATAATGTCCTTAGAGACCTTGGCAGCGCCTTAGAGACACCGCGCTGCAGCAGCAGCGCAGCAGCAGCAGGATGCATGCCCTGCAGCAAAGAAATTGTCTCCTTTTCTGTTGTATTAATTAAGGATAAACAAATAAATCTAGATAAATAAAAGGAGACACCTCCAGAGGTGAGGAGACACCTCAGGGTGTCTATTAGTCTCTGCTGCTCTAGCTGCTGCTGCAGCTGCTGCGGCAGCAGCATACGTAGTCCTTGCTGCTGCAGCAAACGGTGCTGCTGCAGCAGGAAAGAGAAGCAGCAGCAGAGGCAGCATATACATAAACTTATGCATAACCAAAAGCATGCAGAATGCAGCAGCAGCAGCAGCAACAGCAACAGCAGCAATATGCATGCAGCACACCATACACTTAATGGTACTTTTGTACATATTGCTGCTGCTGCTGATACAATAGAACGTGCTGCTGCTGCTGCTGCTGCTCTTCTTCTTGCTGCTGCTGCATTTGCTGCTGCTGCTGCTGCTGCTGCAGTAGATGATGATGGTGCTGCAGCAGCACTCGCATGCCTAGACAACAGCACTGCTTCAGGTGTACAGGCAACTTCTGCTGCTGCTCTTGCTGCTGCTCCTGTTGCTGCTACTCCTGCTGCTTCTGCTGGTAGCTGCTCCTCCAGGTCCGCTGCTACATCTGCTGCTGCTGCTGCTGCTTCTGCTGCTGCTCTTGAGCAGCAATCTGCTTGTCCTCTCTCCTCTGCTGCTGCAGCAGAGTATTTGCGGAACTTCTGCTGCTGCTGCTGCTGCTGCATGCGCTCAGCAGCAGCGGGCCCAGCAGAGCAGCAAGTGCTGCAGTCAAAGTCCTTAGCAGACCCGAAGCTGCTGCTTCTCCTGCTGCTGCTCCTGCTGCTGCACTTGCTGCTGCTGCTGCTGCTGCTGCTGCTGTCAGGCCTTAAAGAGGAAACACGACCGCGTCCCTCGCTGCTGCTGCGTTGATGGCTACCACGCAGCATTTTGCTGCTGCTGCTGCTGCTGCTCTCTCCTGTTGCAGCTGCTGCTGCTGCTGCTGGGAGATAACCTGGTAGCATACGTCGCAGCAGGTAGCTCAGAGTGCTGCTGCTGCTGCTGCTGCAGTTGTTGCTGTTGGTGGCGGGTTCGCTGCTGCGGTAGCTGCAGACGCTGCTCCTACTGCTCCAGCTGCTGCTGCGCTTCCTGCTGCTGCTGCTGCTGCTGCCTTCTGGTGCTGCTGTCGTGTTGCAGCACTGGCATGGGTGTCTGCTGCTGCTGCAGTCATGCTTGCTGCATTGATAAGTTGCTTCTGCTGCTTCTGCTTCCATGGGTGGAGCTGCTGCTGCTTCTGCTGCTGCTGAGGTTCTTACTGCATTAGTTGCTGCTGTAGCAGCAGCAGCAGCAGCAGCAGCAGATGTTCTGCTGCAGCACAACCGTGTACGCAAACCCCACACATGGAGACACCACTGCCGCCAGTTTGCTGCTGCATCAGGAGCTGCTGCTGCTACACTCTGCCTCCTGCTGCTGCAGTTGCTGGTGCTGCAGCTGCTGCAGCTGCTGCAGTCGTCCTTCTCTGCATCTGATAAGAAAGTAGGGGGCACGGGGGCGCTAGGGTAACGGGCTAAGCGTGCATGCCTCATCTGCTGCTGCTGCTGCTGCTGCTGCTTCTGCTGCTGTTGCCGCTGCTGCTGCTTCCGCTGCAGCAGCAACAGCATCTGTTCGTCAAGAAAACTCTGCAGAGGAAATACACACAAGCTGCAGCACAAACTTGCTGCTGCTGCTGTCGCTGCTTCTGCCCTCGCCTTTGTTGCTGCTGCAGTTGCTGCTACTGCTGACACCTGGAACACTACAGCAGCAGCAGCAGCGGCTGCTGCTGCTGCTGTTGCAGCAAGCGCAGCGGTAGCAGTCTTGTGACCCGCCGGGATTCTATACAAGACAAGGGACGCTACTGTCTTGCTGTCGCTGCTGCTGCTGCTGCTGCTGTTGCTGCTGTCACCGGTACAGCTGCTGCTGCTGCCGCTACTGCTGCTGACTTACCCGCCTGCAGTATGGTCGGAGGAAATTTACTGCTTGGCGCTGCAGCAGCTGCTGCTGCAGTTACTGCAGCAGCAGCAGCAGCAGCTGGTAGGTTATTTCCTACTGGCAGCTGCTGCTGTTGTACCTGTTGCTGCTGCCGTTGCTGCTGCTGCTGCTGCTGCTGCAGACACCTTGACACATTAATGGAGAAGACAAGAACTCTAAGGAGAAATTTGCTGCTAAAATATTCTGCCAATTATTGAATAATAATTATTTATTATGTTGCTGCTGCTGCTGCTGCTGCTGCTGCTCGTTACTGCAGCAGCTGGTGTGGCGACAGTAGCAGTAGCGGCGGCAGCAGCAGCAACTGCAGCATCGGCAGCAGCTGGCGCCTCACCGGGGCCCCACACCAGCAGCAGCAGGAGCAGCAGCAGCAGCAGCAATCGTACAAATCTCCTGTCTTTAATTTTTTTATTATTCATTTGCAGCATAGTACTGCAGCAGCAGCAATAACAACAGCTGCAGCGGCTGCAGCAGCAGCCGCTGCTGCTGCTGCTGCTGCAGCTGTTCCGCCTCCAGAACGGTACCAGGCCAGGAGCTCATTTGCTGCTGCTGCTGCTGCTGCAGCAGCAACAGCACCAAAATATAGAGCAGCAGAAAGCTATCTCAAGCTGGCAAAACAGCATAAATAATAGCAGCAGCAGCCTGCGCTGCTGCTGCTGCTGCTGCTCTTGCTGCTGTTGCTGATTGTGCTGCTCCTATTGCTGCATAGTGGTCGAAGCCGTTCTTATGCGGTGCCCTCCTGCTGTTCGTACAGCAGCAGCAGCTGCTGCTGCTGCTGTTGCTGCTGGCAGCCAAGCAGAAGCCTTCCGACCAGCTGTAGCAGCAGCAGCAGCAGCATGCCGCTGCTTCCATACCCGACGGGCAATACAACAGGCAACAAAGGCAGCAGCAGCAGCAACACCAGCAGCAGCAGCAACACTAGCAGCAGCACCAACAGCAGCAGCAGCGGCATCAAAATCAGCAGCACTGCAAGGAAGGCGATTGCTGCTGGGGGAATCTTCTGGCGTTGCCCCTCCTCCTATTGCTGCTGCTCTTGCTGCTGCTGCTGCTGCTGCGGCTGCTGCTGCGCGGCGTCCCCTACAGCAGCAGCGGATACTACCAAATCGGTATTTGCTGCACCCTACACCCCCTAGCTATCAGCAGCAGGCTAGCAGCAGGCTGCTGCTGCTGCTGCAGCAATATCCTGCAGCAACAACAGCAACAACACGAGCAGCAGCAGCAGCAGCAGCAGCAGGCTCTTTTCCTGCTGCTCGCTGGCAGCAGCGTGGGGGCTCTTTTCTTCACTGGGGAGGTAGGAAAGGGGAGCCGCAGCAAACAGAGCAGCAACAGCAGCAGCAGCAGCAGCAGGAACCGCAGCAGGTGCAGCAGGAAGGTTCCACCGTACCAGAGCAGCAAACTGTTAACTCTGAAGACAGCAGCAGCAGCAGCAGCAGCAGCAGCAGCAAATCAGATGTTGCTGCTAAGGATGTTGCGCATGCAGAGCATGAGACTGCCGCTCCCGTTGACGCTGCTGCAGCAGGTGACCCCCGAAGCAGCAGCAGCAGCAGCAGCAGCAGCAGCTGGTCGGAGGCACTGACCGGCCGCTTCTGGCCTTCAAAACGGGGAGCAGCAGCAGACGCAGCAGAAGCTGCAGCAGAAGGTGCAGCAGCGCCTGCTGCAGCAATAGACGCAGCAGCAGAAGCTGCAGCACCAAAGTCAGCAGCAGAGGCAGCAGCAGCAGCAACAGCAGCAAAAACAGGAACTGCAGCAGCAGCACATCATAGGATAGGTTTTCCTTCCTCTCCTTCTGTTGATCATATAAGGCCTCCAGCAGCAGCAGATCCAGAAGCAGCAGCAGCAGCAGCTGCTGCTGCTGCAGCAGCAGCAGCAGCACATGGGCATGGAGCTCCTGCATGGTGGCAGCTGCAGCAACTGCAGCAAGAGTTGCTGCATTTGCTGCAGCGAGCAGCAGCACTAGAGCGCAGCATACCCAACAGCAGCAGGAAACCCTTGCTGCTGATACTTGCTGGTGCAGGTAAGCATTTGCTGCTGCTGTTGCTGCTGTTGCTGCTGCTGCTGCATGCAGAGAGTTCTGTGCCACCTTCTATAAAAACTTTCTTATTCTTTCTCTCTTGCTGCTGCTGCTGCTGCTGCTTCTTCTTCTCCCTCCCCCTCCTCCTCCCCTCCTTCTGCTACTACTGTTACTACTGTTGCTGCTGCTGTTGCTGTTGCTGCTGCTGCAGGGGTCGTGCTGCTGCTGCTGCTGATGGAGAGATGGGAGAGCGTAAGGAGACAAGTTGGCCTTGAGGGCGCGATGGTCATCAAGGAAGGAATGAAGAGCCAGCAGCTACAATTCACCGGTACCCTGCTGCTGCTGCTGCTGCTGCTGCTGCTGCTGCTGCT